AAAACTACAAAAGTTAGAATTGGTCCATAAAAGTAGAAGATTAGAAGCAGTTAACCAGCAGTTATTACATTCATCTCTTGGACTTTCCGCTGGTAATCACGGACAGCATTGGCAGCAGCCCCACCAGCCAAGACAGCCTCCTCAAGCTCACGAACTGTTTGGGTTAACTTTTCGACTTCAGCCACCTTTTGCCGCTGCATTTTGTCTAGTATTTTGTTCTCCTCCTGTCATTAAAGTAAGAGAACATTTAAAACAATGTTGCATTGCACTCATTAATTATAAGACGTATGCAGTTGCCTGACCTACAAATCACAATAAAATTTGGAAGACGCACCTGGCATATTTCAACCTGTTTCATTAGCTCTTGGTTCTTGTTTTGCAGGTCATCAACCAAGGATGCCTTTGCCATAGCAATTTGAACAGTTCTCTCAGCCTCAAGAATGGCAGCCTCCTTTGATTTGGTTAGCCGATCTAGTGCTCTATTGTCATCCTGCAACTTTGCTACCTGAAACATGGAAACAGCAAGCACGAGTGTGATTGATGCTCTTCCGGTCTAGATTATCATATCAGAACAAGACAAACATGAAATTGGAAAACGACTCAAAATTGGACAAAGACGCACCAAAATCCAAGCTCATTCCAATTTTTAAGTTTTAACTGGATAGCACACCACCAGTCCAGGATGCCTCGAGTGTGGAAAAAGGATGTCTATTTAAGCATAATACTAGATCGAATATCAAAATATACCTCCATCCTAGCCAGCTTGAGCTCTGCTTCCAGAGGTGTGATGATAGCTTCAATAGGAGGCATTTCATCATCTTTCTGAGCAGCATGGACTCTTCTTAGCGTGGCCTCTGCGGCAAATTGAGCAGCCAATGCTGCCTTTCTCTCATCATTGACTTTTTTTAATTCAAGGTTCTGCGAAACATAATGTAGCATTATGTGACCTGAAAATAATGGCTATAAAAAAGAGGAAAATTTTCAACAAGGGAATGGTCATGACTGAAATACTACCTTACTTTCCAGAAGAGCTTCAGTTGCTTTAAGTTTTTCGTCCACCTTGTTCAGCTCATCTGTTAGCTGAAATTATCAAACCCGTGGAAGCAATAAGTTTCGTTGCACTTTATGCGAGAGTTTCAGCAGCAGGTCAACAGAAACATACCTCTTGCACTGCTTTTTCTTTAAGACGTTCTGAGTTCTTTAAGGACTTAATCTCTGCAAGAGCCTCCCCCAGCTCCCTATCTTTCTCTGCAAGTGAAACAATATTCAGCGAGGCTCATTACTAAAACAAGGGCACACCCACTCTAATGAAGAGATTCTCTTTTAAATAAGATTCTGACTGAATTATAAGAACCAACAATTAGTTATAAAGAACCAAAGGAAAGATGGAAATCATGCATACATACGTGGTATTGAAGACTGAGAAAATACAAGTGCGTTATATAATGTACCTCAGGTTCCTGATTTTAACATTTTTGGCAGGATAGGAAAATGTCTACCCAAAATAAATGGAATGATAGTTTGATCATAATACATACAATAAATAAGATCCGTTGAAAGAACAAACCATCCTCATGCAACATATAAAGTTCATACTTTGATTCAAAGATCGAGTTTTTTTTCCTTCTGGCCGAAGGTTCAAAGATCAACTTGACAACAACAATTTTGCAACCGCACGTCGAGCAAAATGATGACGACGGCACACACTGATGTGAGAGAGAGAGAGAGAGAGAGTTGTTCCGTTTCTATTTCAAGGGTAACAAGGAAGAGGGGATAGAAGGAAAAATGCAAGATAGCATGTACATTACATAATTCAAACTTATTTAGTGAATGTATTTATGGACATCCGGCACAATACCCATCATAATTTGATAGTTTGCACTAGATGAAAATCATATCTAAGATTCATTCCCCGAAGACTCTAATTTCTTCCAGAAAAAATAAATAATTATGGCCAAAATGACTAAATTTGCATGTTGAGAGAAGAATGCAAGTTTTATTTAATCGATAAAGATATAGCTCAAATTCAGTTCGAAACTAATGTAGTTCAATTAGAATAATTTTGTCGCTGCTAAAGTTCTCTTTGTTTTTTTTTTGGGCCATCATAAAGTTTGCTAGATTGAATCGAACGTTGTTTTCTTAAAAAAGACCGCAGTCGGTATAATGTTCCGACAGCATTTTGTCAAAATTCCTCTTTAGGTTTGATTTTCTCTTTTGACACAGAATTTCATCATCAGAGAAACCGAACTAGCTAACTTAATTTTTTTTTTTAAAAAATGAAATCAATCTGCAACTCATGTAACGCGCCTCTCACACTTCTCCAACACATATTCTGGAAAAAATTAGCAATCCTGGGAACTCCAAATTCCCCCAACGAATCAATTAGGCACAAAGTCATCCGGAATATGCGCTCACATTCTCCCCCAGAAAAGAAAAAATTCCGAAGAATGAGGTGGGAAAAAAGAAAGAAGGAAAAAAAAACCTCGGAGTTCATTTTCAAGGCGGCTGAGCTCCACGCGGACTGGATCGGAGCCGTGCAAGAGGGTGAGGACATCATCTACTTCAGAAGGCTGTCGGGAGAGGGCGTTCGACTTCTTGCGAGCCTTGAAGGAAGCAGAGGAGGTGAGGAGAGGGGGCTTGGCGGCGTCGAAGTCGGCGCCATTGCCAATGTGGGTGTTCGCCATCAGAGATCTGGAAACGTTGAGCTCATACACAATCCTGCCCTGAACCCTAACTCCAAAATCAGCGAGAGCCTGTAAAAGTACTGAACTATAATATATTTAATTAAGGTTAGCCACTGTTGAGAGACCGAGAGTGAGAGAGGGAAGGGTGTGAGTAACAGAAAGGCGGGGTGTATATATACAGAGGGATTAGGGAGGAGGTTTAGGCGGGGATTTTAAAATTAGACGCTGATTATTCAAAGCTCTTGTTGCTGCGAAAAGGGATGCCGATTGCTGATTAGCGTGCGAATGACAGGGATTGGGAAATGGAAACAGCCCCGGGGAATTATAGGATGCGCTGACTTAGCCAACTTACTGTGCTCCTTCATTGCTCTTTTTCTATTGAGAAAGGCTCACACAGTGACAAGTGGCGGCACAAAAGAGCCTGCCGGGAGTCCATTATTATTGATTCTTTTATCGAGTGATGATTGATTTGAGGAGAACAAGTCAATTTTACTTCTTTTTTTTTTTTAATTGCCTGAGAGAATCCAGCTACAAGAGCAGGATTAATAATCAACACGAATTCTTATTCTTCTTTGAAATTATTTATTGAGATAAAAATAAAACATCATTATTACAGAAAAGGGTAAAAGATTCGGATTCGTTCAATAATGAAATCCTAGTGATATAGAAATATGATCGCATTAAGTATAAGCTTTGTCGTTATAAAGAAAGAAAAATCAAGGATTTGGAAGTGGATGGTATTGGAAGATTCTGAGGATTAGGGAGATACGGTCAGGAAACAGGGAGCAGAAGATACCGACGCGTGTCACCGGAGACAGAAGCACATACCGCTGCGCGGAATGAAAGAAGGAACCGGGGGGGGGCATGGTAAACAAGGGTGGGGAGCGAAGCAGGGGAGCGGAGGAAGCCCGGAGACAAAGCAAGGCGGGACAAGCCGCACATGCGAGTGGGAAAGGTGGAGCGCACACATGACAAATCTTGAATCCAGCCAATGAACCTTCGACGTTTCTGCCTATGTGGGGCCCACCTTCCCCTGTTCTTTTTCAATAAAAACGCAGACACCAAAATGTTGATAACTATTCGCTTGTAAGCTTCTACGTCCGTTGATCATCAGTTGTCCATCATTCTTCGCACCCAATTGACCCGCACGCGCCTCCACACGAGCGTGCGTGCTCCATTTTAAGGATATTGGTAATCCAGGCGTATGTATGCGATCTCATATTCAAACTTCGTCTCGCTCTGCCACACGCTTGAATTTAATACCCGTGGGTTGTCCGTACCATCACGAATCAGCTGTCAGCATCTGGCTTGAAAACGGATCGGGCCTCGGGTTAGCTTCTTTCGGACTCAATTGCTCGAGTAACTAATATGTGAACAAGAATTATGCAGAACGTGTTCATTATTTCATCTAATCCAGGGGAATTATATCCCTTACAACAAATTTTTAAATAAGACCCAACTTTATACCCGAAAAGAAGAGTTCCACTTTTTTTTTAAAAAAAAAAATCTCCTTTACGTCACTCACAATCACAAGTAAAATCGTTACTTAACATTTGATCATAAAATCCTTACTTAGTAAAAAAAATCCTTATTTTTTTATTCAAACCTCTCGCCACTACATTACACAGGTAAAAAAAAAAAATTTCCGTATACTCTCTTTGGGGATTTTGATTAAAAATAAATATATTATTCTTCAATAAATATACTGCCTCCGATCCTTAATATAAGGCCCAATTTGACTTTCATTTTAATCCTAAATATAATATCTCAATCCACCTTATCTCTCATATTTATTCATTTTTTTAACATAGTTCTTGTAATAATAATAATTTTTGCCAATAAACTTGATTAGCGAGGATATTTTAAAAAAGACAACATTTATTTATTACAAATAACTTAATTCATTTTTTTAATTTATTCAAATTAGTTAACTAACTCTTATATTTAGGATTAGGATAGTACAAAATACTTCACCAGTCCTTAATATATGTCCTAATTCTTGAGTTAATTTTAGTCTTAAATATAAGACCTATTTTTTATATTTATCAGTTTTTTTTCTAAATTACCCTGATAGATCTCCCTCAACTATAATCAAGTAGAAGAGGTTCAAGCTAATCATTCAGATCACGAAGCTCCTTCTTCAATCTCATCATTGCCCGACCTGATAATGCTAGATTCTGGTTCCCCTTTATTTGCCTTTAATATTCATCATTGTCTACACTAATTAACCAAGAAATAAAATTGGTGCCCACCAAAAATTAAAAAAACAGAGAGAGAAATCATCGCCTCATTTTTAATATTGCACATAAAATTAAGAATCAGGTCAAGATGCATCATTCAAAGGCTTCACCAAAAGTAATCTGATTATTTGAATGACTCTAAAAAGCTAATATTAAACTTGCAGCAACATCCAAAGGAATGAAAAGCCTAAAGGAGGAGGATTGCTTCTGAGCAAAACACATCTCTTGAAGGACCACATTTATCCCTTCACCCAAGGGATCACAAGCTCAAGAATTAGTTTCATTTCATACTCAAGAAGATCTACTTCAACTCAAAATTGACTAGTTCCCTGAATTTTCCATCAAATGACGGATATATACCTCACTAAATGGTGTAATACCCTGGCCGAATAAGGAAAGAAAATAGAAAGAAATACTATGTAAATCTGATAGGGTTGGTTGCTTGGATCAGATTTTGAACAAAGCTCCCGAAACTTAAAACAGACGTGTCTTTAACAATACCCAAAGAATAAGGTCTGATGTTATGAGATTTCATAGGTTTACCGCCACAACAGGAATTGAAGGCAGGGAGAGTCCTTCAGAAAGCCTACTCGTATAGAACCCGTTAGGCTGATTCTGAATCATTAGCTACCGCAGATTCGCGTTCCTGACGACGCTGTTCCCTCTGTAACAAAGATGAGGTTAAGAGTGATTCAAATAGGCTAATTAGTAAATCAATGGCAGGTACATCTCTTCATCACTTTTTTTTGGCCTCACTGCTCATCATTATTTAAAAACTAGTAATGCACGGGGAAAAACCCAATTTCAGAGATTGATTTGTTATACAGATTATCTTAAAAAGTAAATGAAATAATGCCAATTCCAGAGTCAAAAATGCTTTCTGTTTCACATGGCTATGCGATTCCAAGTGTTGATAGATATAAGCAAGCTCTGGGGAAGAAGAAAGTTGCGTGTTGTGCTCACAGAGGCCCTTTACTTGGCCAGGAGCACTGACCATCGCACAAGTTGAAAGGTCAAATATAGCACTTAGCTGGTGGAACCCTTAGAAATGGTATCAATTGATAAGAGTAAGCAAGAAAGGATAATTCTCTCGGATCTAAAGGGGAAGAACAGAAATTTAATGGCTCAACTGATAAAGGCTCAATATCATTTGATGAATACTCACTACACTAGTGGCTGGAAAACTTCCTATCAACATTAACGACTTACATATTTCAGTACAACTTCCAATTACAACTATCTGCTGTGATACCTAGGTCGCTCTAGTGACTAGGCTACCTTGACCCTTGAGGGCAAGGATCTCTTGGGAAGGGGGTATTGATACATAATTGTAATGAAAGGAGAAGAGTTGGTTAGAGTTACTTAATGAATCCTTAGGCTTATAAATAGGAGGTTTTGCGTAGTTTGTAAACAGGTTGTGGTCATGAAAACCCTTATCCAAACTACTTATGCAATTTTGAGGTTTGCGTCGAGCCTAAAGTGTCTTGGGCTAATACATGAGAGTTCGGTGTGGTTACTGGTGATGTTTCTCTGTTTATTTTAAATGAACTGAGTATTCATGAAAAACCTTATCCAAACTGCTTACGCAATTTTGAGGCCTGCTCGATGGCTAAAGTATCTTGGGCTAATAGTAAAAGTGCTCTGATAGAGCTGGCATGATCTCACATACTTGCATGAGGGACCCAAAAAATATAAAATAAAATAAAATGTAGCAAACTTTCTACAGCAGGTAGCCAAGTAACAGATCCAGATAATAGGAAAAACTAAAGTGAGCAACACTCTTACCCTTCTTTCCCAATAAGGATGAAAGCAAACAAAGTCGTAGACTGGAGTAATTGTTGAAACCAAAACAACATTTAATCCAGTAAATACCAGTAATGCTGTCATAGGTCGGGTTCTATGAGGCATGTTTCTTTCTTGTAGAGACCAGGCCCTGCAATCATATGCCATTTGAAGTAAGCATTGACAAGTATAGAAGAGTAGATAACAAATACTCACTGCTCAGTTATTGTCATACAGAGAAGTACACAAAAAGAAATGATAACCAAAAACAATGGATAAAAATGGTGTCAGTGTACTACACATCTCAGACTCCACTTCAGATTAACTATGACAATCTAAATTTTCAATCGTCACTGAATCCATAACAAAGTCCATACTTTCTCATTCTATATGATACTGTAACCGAGATTCAATCATTTATGACGGAACCATTAAAAATCTGAGACCAGTCACAAACTCAGTATACAGAATCAGATTCCAAATCCAAAAGAAACATCCATTATCCAAACCCTAGCTGAGTAAAGAAAAGAAAAATACCACTTATAATACAGTGCTTACACACCCCACAAAATATGCTAGTGAAAAATCTATGCTGCATCAAACCCTTACTGAAGATAACTATTATGCTATGTTCGGTAGGAGGTAAAAGGAGCTGAGGAAAGGGAATAGAAGTGATGCTACCAAAAATTGATAGGGACCGCGAGTGTACAGGCTGCGAAGCAATTAATGGTTTATCAAGGTCGATCCCATAGAAAACCAAGTTAACCAATGATTAAGCATTAAATTTCCTCTTTTCATTTAAGTTGAGCACATCAAAACTGAATTTAAATTAAGTGGAAAGAAATTAAAATAAAATAAAATAAAGCTTTATCAAATTAACTAAATAAAGGGCAACCACCCCTGCTACCTTCTTAAACCTTGGTTCACTGAATTGATTAGTTAACTTTGTTAAGCTAGAGCTCAATTAGCTACAAATGCCTATTGGTCCACTTATAACCCTCTCTCAAGTATAAAATGTTATGTCTAACATAATTACCCTTCTATCATGTTCATCAACAATTATATGGGATAATTAGATATATTTCTATCCTAATTACAAATTAGATTGCAATCCAATCCCATATTATTTAATCTCAGAGCTTAATTAAAATCCCCTTCTTCAAGAAAAATCTTAATAGTCAAATTCACACTTAATGGCGGCCAGTCATCAAATAGATAATGCACAACAAGATTAAGTAACCAAAATCAACATTAAACATCATCAATCGGTGAAACAAAATTCAATCAACTGACAGGTTTATAGGTCCTCTAGGTTGCAAAAACAACCTAGCTACACATCACTGTAATCAGTCTTAATTCAGCACAAAACAATCCAAGATTCAAATACATAATGAGCATAAAAGGAAGAACAACTAACAGAACTTCAATTATGGTGTTTCCCTTCTTTGATATGTTCCTATAGCTGCATCCCCTCAGCTCATCGAATCTGAAATGGCTTCCTCTGGTTCTGTGACCTTCCTCCCTCGTCGACGGCGTGCATTCAAGTTCTGCCCTTCGAACCCGTCGCCTCCAGCTCCAGAGAATGATGAACAGGGAAAAACCAGCTTCCCAAACGCGTCTGCAATCTCTCTTCGATGGCGTTCTCGGCGTGGTCTCCTCTGGTATCTATCCTGCTCAAACCAGTCTCGGCGTCTCTGATTCAAGGGAGGAAGACGATGAACAGTGATCAGCCTCCAGCGTGCCTCCCCCGCGTCGTGCGCTCTTGGTCTCAGATCATTCGACGTTGATTTCCCCGAAAAACGCCGTCGTTCTCTCTTAGGTTCTGTTTGGTTGGAGGGGAGAGGAGGAGATGAGTGTGTTTGGTTAAAAAAAATAAAGGGGAGGGGAGAGAGAAAATTTGTCTTTTAGTGCTCCTCTCTCCTCCTCATACTCCCCTCCAAATTTGGAATTTTTCAGAAGGGAAAGAAATATTATGTTTAATATTAACCAAATTATCCATACTAACTTTTCAATATTTCAAGTTTGTCCATCTTATTAAAAATCTTTCTTTTACTTCTTTCTTTTTTTAGCCCCTAATAATATTTGATAATTATAATATTATAATATATACATATCATATATATTAATATATATATCATGATATGTGTGTATTATAATTATATATCATAGCGTGTATGTATTATAATCTCAGATAACATGCATATATATTAATATATACATATCATAACGCGTGTGTTATAATTATATAATATATACATATCATATATATTAATACATATATTTATAAAATTAATGAGATTGAATATTAAATTTTTTTATCATATTTTCTATTTTTTTTTAGTTTTATCATTTTTTATCACATGTAAGTGAGGTAATTGGTTTTTTTTTAAATTGATAAATTAAGAAATAATAATTTTGATATAAATATTGTAATAAAAAAAATCAGTCTAAATATAGAGATAAGGACATATTTGTTAATTTATAATTACATTCCCTCCCCTTTTCTTGTGAACCAAACAAAAAATCTCTCTTCCCTTCCCCTCCCCTCTAAGTCTTCAACCAAATAAAACCATGACCTCCCTTCTCTTCCTTTTAATTAACCTCCCCTCTCCTCCCTTTCGTTGAACCAAACAAAGCCTTATCAGGGGGTGGTTTGGATGCACCATGAGTGTTTTTAAAAATACTTTTCTGCAAATTAAGATAGACTCATCTATATATTTTTTTTTATATATTATAAAATTATTTTTAAAATTATGATTTTGTTTCTATCCAAGCACCAGCGTCCAAAATAACTGAAAGGGGAAAAAAAAAGAAGAATAAAGAAAATAAAGTAGGGGCAAAAATTGCAGCTTACTTTAGCTTACAGGAGGGATCACAGGTTTTCTCTTTATAATTACATGATTTCTATCCTTGCTTATTATGCACTTCTATGTTTCGTAACCGCATTTGGTCTAATTGAATAAACTCAAGCTAATTTTTCTATAATATAAAAAAATTTGTTTTTATTATTGAAGTAAACTTTTGCAATGAGATTATTTATTAAAATTACAAATCATCTTTCAAAAAGCATACTAAAAAATTATCATCAGTAAATGAGGTAAAATATTTTAAGATTCGAAAAGTGGAAAAATGATAAATTTTATGATAAATAACTTCTTTTATAAATAAGTAAAACGAAGAGATTTAAAATAAATGAATAATACAAGGATAAACACCTCTTTTAAAACTCTTACCCCGTTTCCGGCCCAAACCCAGTGTTGGACTTTGTGGACTGTCCTATTGACCAACAACTAATGAAGGTTAGCTTTCCTATTAGGCTTTGCTCTAGTAACAACGTCAACTTGGCGCATTAAACTGGAGTGGAATTTCCGTCCAAAAAAAAAAAAACTGGAGTGGAATTTTTTGCTTGAAGAGGTGCCTATATTTAATACCCCACATTATCTTAAATAAAATTATCTCTAATAAAAAAACACCTATACTTAAACAAAAAAAAATGGAGTGGAATTTCAGGCTCCCCCACCTAAATTTTGGCTTAACTGAGTTATAAAAGTTAATGAGATGCAACTAACAAGAGTTAAGTCTAGTAGATAAGACTAGTTCCTCAGTGAAGAATTAATATTCAAATATTTGTTGAGAGAAGTGCTCATATTTAGTGATCAATAATATCTCAAATAAAATTGTTTCCAATAGAAAATACATGTTATTTAAGGGGGGAAAAAGTTAACGAGATGTAGAAGCCACATTCGTCACTAATTGATTGGATAGCTATACAAGTGTTTTTTTTTTTAGGCCGAAAGCTTAACATATAAGTTGGATCCTTTCATTTATCAGATAAGTAGCACGTAAAATACAATTTACGTAGGGGCAGGGGGAGTTCCATGATACATCATTTTTTTAATCTTTATGAAAAATTAGAATCATAATTTTAATAGCTTCATTGCTAATGGTTTTCAATTAAGACATAATAACTGCGCGTGTTGCTATTATTTGCGAAAGAATAATTAGGCAAATCTAAAAATTATACTGCTCTAAATTTGCATCCATAGCAATGATAACATTTGAAATGACAGTCAACCCCAAACTCTTCCAGAATGTCACACCCTTTAAATATTGACCATGACCATTTTGTTTAGACTTAAGACGAGCATTTACATTTACAGTACAGATGGAGCAACAAAAAAGGAATATGGCTGTTTCTACGTCAACTTAATTGACTGGGAGGAAAAAAAAAAAAAAAAAGCCTATAATTAACCCACCTAACACGGTTCACCAGGTCTGCCTACATGATTCGTGACGTTTAAATGAAATGCATCAAAAAGAAATTTCCACTCAGAAAACACAAATTTGACACCTAAATATTATTATTTCCAACGCATCGAAACATTCTCAAATTTAAAAATATAACTAGAACCCTTCAAAATTTACACTGTTAAAGCTCATGGAACATCTTTTTTTTCTTAAATTTATGCTCTAAACTTGATTATACCACAAGTAATGGGAGTAAAAAGTACATTTCCCATAAAACAAAGCTGATGTCTCGAGCAATGAACACTTGTACACAGAAGTACAAATACTACTCTATATTTTTCCCTTCAATTCTATCAATCAAACATCTACAACAAACCCAGATTATTGAGACTATTTTCAAACTAAAGAAGAAAAATCAGAGAGAGATAAGATAGGCGGGTACTAAAACCAGGCACCAGCAGTTTGCGGAGAGATATATTACATATGACGATGTGTACAAATCAAATTTTACAGCACACTACTAGGCTTCAAGAGGAATTTGGTGTACAATGATAGTGTTCTTGAACATAGCTCAGATTAGGCATTGAAATGCCTCATTCCCTCGGCCTGGCAAGCCACAGCGAACTCAGGGCTCGTAGCCTGGAGAAATAATCACTTATCGCAAGAAGAGCTCGAGCCGACTGCCTCGTGGTTAATATCCGCAGCATCTGTTGTAATGTTTGCTGTCGCAGATTGTCAGCCTACATTACACGATTAGATTAATATCTTTTTCCACTAATAAGATCTTAACACGTCTACTGAGTGCAAAATTGCCCATTACTTGTAGGATTATATACCATAATGATTAGACTCTCATTAGGCCTACATACATTTGATGAGTCCTTTCATATCTTCCCTCACTCTAATTATAGTAGTCTTCCTTATTCAATTTTCTACCAGATACTCTGATGATCCTTTGCATCTTGAATCCATCAGATGAAGTGTTGAGGCAATAATATCAAACCAGACAATAGATGGATAATTAAGTACCTGCCGAAGAAACCCCTCGAGAGTACCCAGCTTTCCCATGGCCATAGCCATCTGCCCCATATAGTTTGCCACATTCCCTGAAGGCCCTGATGGGGTGGATGACTCATTAGCCAAAGTCTCAGCTAGTGATTGTTGTAATGCATCCATTCCTTGGGACAGCGCATCTTCAGCCTGTTGGGATGACTGTTGCAAGCTGTAAATGTTCATCAACTGTTGCTCTGTCAATGGCTCCAAATGGGTTCCAAGAAGCTGAATCAGCGCCAGCAAAGTTCAAAGTTAGGCAGAAAAATATCACAGAAGGAAAAGTCCTTTGAGAACTTATAATGGGCACACCGCCACATGGTTGCCCCAGCATACCATGAAAGACAGAATACCGCATCTATTAAAATGTGTGTGTGTGTGTGTGTGTGTGTGAGAGAGAGAGAGAGAGAGAGATTTCTCACCTTGAGAAGCTCAGATGAGCGAAAGCCTCCAATCCACATGAAACATCTCTCAGCTGGTGTTTTCCACATTCCAGATAGTATGTGGAAGACATCAGCTTTGGCTGCAGCACCCTTGAGCCTGAAAATCTCTTCATAGTGCGTCATAACGTTTTCAACAATTGTCCGAAGTTCTACATCTCCAGCATGAGAATTGACTGCAGCCCTCAGCTCATTTATCTGCCGGTTATGTTCTTCTAACCAACGTGCATACTCCACATCAAAGGTCATTGCACCTGCACCACAAGCCAGTTAATAGAAGTGCTAGTGATTGAGAATCACAATCAAAGAATGAAAATTTTAACAAGGTAAAAAAATGAAGTTGCCAAAGATTTTGGGCAGCAACAACACAAGGAAGCTTCATTCGGATATTGTAAAGGAAGTTTGTTAGGAAAATGGGAATAAAAAAGTGTAAGCATAGAGGGAGAGTGCGGCATAAAATTGAAAAATTTTAAGGGAGGATCAACTTCCTCAGAACTAAAGCTTTCTCGCTTCTTTCTGAGCTTTTCAGCTTTTGATGCCACAGTAAGATATCGTCTTATAATCAGGATATGGCATTTAGAAGATAAGCTGCAAAAGGCTGGCCTGGCAGAGACGAAAGCCACAACTCAAAAGCCTTTGCGTAGAGGGTGATTGAAAAAACATAATTTGTCATCAAGACTTCATAACCTAGGTGGTTTATGAGTCTATTTGACCAGCATATACAGAAGATAAATAATGTCCTTTAACAAGGACAGAGATATTAAAAGGGGCAAAAGCATACATGAAAATTTAACCCAACCTATGATCACAAGGTCATTTGGAAGTTGGGTTTAGAAGTCAGGTTACAGGTAAAAACAGGCACAAAAAGCTTCGCTTGATTTGGGATCCCATGTTGTGATGAGGCAGGCAACTTAGGGGGATTCGTCATCTACTAGTCAATCTTACAGTTCACAAATGACTGATTGAATGTCATGCTGACCACTAACGACCTTTTCAATGATTATAGTAACAGCTTTAAATTTGAAATAAACCCAGAACATCTAAGAAACCACTCGAAGTGTAACGATTTAAGTCCCAAGCTTGAGTCAACATGGTTGGAGGAAGAAGCTTAAATACCATTTCCGCTCATTGAATGAGATTGATCTCCCATACTTGAAATAAATATACCCTACAAAAGATTAATAACCTAATTAAAATCTATGATGCAATAAAATAGTCAGGATCGAAGGGTGGAGAAGTACAGCATTTTAAGGCATAAATTTTAAACAGGAACAACTACAAACATAATATAACGAAACCTGCTGGCGGGCTCGTTGGAGCTCCTGCTCAAGTTGAGTCAGTTTCAGCCTGCTACTTTCTAATTGCTGCACATATGCCTGTATGAATATGAACAACGATCAAAACAGAGAGCGTGTGAGAAAGTGAGACATGAAGAACCTTCAGATTATCATCAAACCAATAATATGACTATGCCGCATGCAGCAGCTGCCCAATTTTCACTATAACTTGAACTATCCTACCAGGAGTGTAGGGACACTTGCATCAGCACAATTTATCTTACCTTTTTTCGTAGCCGACTTTTCCTAGCAGCCTCACGATTTTGAGCTAGACGCCGTAGTGTCTGCATGGTTACAAAATTATTATATAATAACACCACACCTAAATTATGCAAGCAAAATCAATGATATAACCTTTTGATCTGTTTTATCTTTTGATCTGTCGCTGGAATCAGAAGCCCCAACAACTAGTTGACCCCTCTCAGACTGCAAAACAACACCACGTTTGATAATTGTTTTTAAAAGCATTTTCCTATCTGCTTAAGAATGTGCAACAATAGCTTAGATGGCATCACCAAAAGGTAAAAAAATTCATCTGTGACCAAAATTCCAGATGCATAAAATAAAATGTATAATAGAAGCAAACAAGTCACCCTTTGATTTTTATCATCTGTATCATCTGTTGAAGTGTCAGTCCTTGGGCTTGCATCTGCCATGTTAGACTCCCCCCAGTTCTCACGCTGGCCACCAGATGTAGAAGCCAGATTGGAATTTGAGTCATTTTGCAGTGGTAATGTCTGAGAGCCCGAGATTGCAGCAGGAAGATTTATATTAGATGTTTGCCTTAGACTGTATCTTCCACATAAGAGTAGAGTGCAGAAAGTAGGAACTCCAATCATATTTTGGGTTTACTCCACACAGAAGATTCAGAGTTACCTTATTTAAAGCGCCAAAATGAACGTCAACACCCAGAGGCTGGTTATTTGACTTCATTTGATTGAATACAGGATCTGGGGATTTATAAAATATTCAAAGACGCGTTAGATACAGCATTACTTAATAAACCAGTAAATTAAAACAAATACGAACAACTTCAAAGTATATGGTTCTTCCCCCCCCCCCAAAAAAAAAACATACAACATAATTCGGAACAATTCGTAAAATATGGTAGGTAGATTAGAATAGCAAGCAGCCAACACCCTAAGTCCATAAACAAGTTCAGTGCGGCACTCAAGGCATTTCAGAAAATAATTAGAGCAACGAAAATTCTTCTTTCATTTTTCTTATTAGGGCCTGAGAAGATCATTAAAACAGTGGGTACGAGATTAGATAATTATATGACAACAGAATAGAGTAAGAGCAACAATTAACTTAAAGAAGGGTATGACTAAAAGTAATTAAAATGTGAGCATCATACTTCGGCTAAGATTGATAGCATCCTCCACACGTAATCCGAAAGACTGATCAATGCCTCCAAATTCAGACATTCGGGAAGGAAGAACAGAAGTTCCTTCCGTACCCCTGCAAACCCAAATACAGCACATCAACAGGTCATAATGGTGAGAAGAAAACACGAAATTGCATTCTCAGTTTGTAACAGACACAACCATGAGAAAACAAATCTCAAAACAGCCTATTGACATAACTTGAAGTGCAGCGTCAATTTTCAGAAAAGCACCGCCACTCAAGCATGACCAGTTGCTAACTTGGAATTACTTACTTAATAGGAATCGCAGAACATTAGTATATCAATCATTAGTATAACTATGCAAGTGAAGAAAACAAGCGTAAACCGTGCTGAAACATCAGCTCAGAGTTGACAAGGGAAGGCTAAAAAAATTATAAATTTGACAGCAAGAAGTGAAAACCATGGAAAACAATACAATATGAAACAGAGGAATCGTATGAAGACTTACATGGAGGAAGAAGTAGGCAGCGGCGGAGCGTAACTCGGCATGCCGTTCGCAAACTTGTTACTGTTGTCGGTCTTAGTATTCACTGTTCTACTACCCATCAATAATCATCCTCGACAATACCATGTTATCTCCAACAAACAACAATAGGAGAAGGCCTGCGTCCATTTCATAAAACGATTTTAAAACACATCTTAAAACATAAAGGTACCTGCTCAAGAATATTAAGAATTGACGGTTTCTAAAGACCAAAGCTTCAAGGAAACCACGAGCTCCAAGAAGAGAATCAAAAAAAGCAACCGCGAATTCGTCTTACACCATGACCAGCAAAACATCTACTAGAAGGAAAAAGCTAAGGCAACATGACTCTCCGTACACCACCAAGGACCACGCTTTCAAACTCAGTTCTTCGCAGCACAAAATTGCCAAATAGAGAACTAAGACCAAAATCACGAAGACACAAGACAAAAGAATCCACCTTCTAATAACGAAGCTCGCAACAAGCTTAAGAAAGCTTCCCAGAATTGAAGCAAGAGGATATAAATTTAGCGGGCAAAACAAGATAACTTCGAATTTTATCCGGACTGATCGAGCACAGCACAAAAGAAGACACAGATGGAGCTCTGCAAACCCTAACGAGTGGGAAGTTGATGAATGATGATAAATACCGAGAGCCCTTTTGACTTTTGATTCAATGAATCAATATCGGTAATATAATATTTTAAAAAGTAATTTTGAACAGTATATTTTTCTCCCCAACCTGAAAAATTTTCTGTGCTTTTTCACTCGCAGATTGTTTATGATTATCGGATCGCATATTAAAGTAAGAGAATCAAGTCATCAAGTTGATGTGGTATGTGATTTATCAAAGGGTGGGGAAAGAGAGAGAATTACCAAGTAGCGTGACATTGAGACCATTCCAATTTTTGTCATATGTCCCTTTCGTCTGAAACCAACCCATTTTTAAAATGGCGCCTTTTAGATTCTTCGCATTTCGGTTAATTTTACCCCCTTCAGTTTCTCTCTTTTTTTTTTTTGGTTACATTTAAAATGTAAAGAATAAAAAACTGAAAAAAAAAATTGCCAGCCATTTTCGATGGGAGATTTTCTACTAGGGAAGAAAGTGTCCTTTTTTAAAGATTTTGTCGTTATGTAAGTAATGTGGGGGGTAAAAGTTGGAATTGCCTGAGAGTAGTTATTAGTGTTCAGGTTCACATACGATTAATTATTTATGTTGATAATAACTGCCCATGTGAGAGCAATCTTTGTTAATGATGAGAGGTCTTTTCAATGGTTTATATTGCAGCAGAGTTCCCAACAACGAATCGATTCGCATCAATTCCCAATTGATTAAATTTGGTTGATTCCAGTTGGTTCTCTTCATTATTTTAATCAAAATATCCCCTTTTTCCCCGTGCAAGAAAATAAACCACCTTTTGTTACTGGCAAAAAAACAGAAAGAAGAAAGGAGATAAACTTTCCCTGAGAAGTTCACGGGGTCGTTTTTTATGATACAGAAAAAATATAGTATATATATATCATTTAAGTTGTGGAGTAATATTAATAAATTAAAATGTGGAGTAATAGAAACAGGGGAGGAAGTGGCAGCTTGGTGATTTTAATGAAAAATGATGGCATTTTGATTACAAGGGTGTTGGTGAGCAATAGCGCGAGCTGTGTGGCGGAAGGAGGGCGCGGTGGCCGCCTCGGGGGAGCCTGGAAATAAGAAGGAAGTTTCGCCAACAAAATGGAATGCCAATAATGCCCCCCTGGGTCAGCTGCAAAGTCAGAATTTGTGCCTTGAACTTCAAGACACTAGAATTAACCTCCCTACGTATTCCTCGGTCAGTCCTCACCTCTCATTTTTAAATTTCCAAATTATATTATTATACTATTATTATATGTATTCTCCATCATTCCTTCAATTATTATTAATTATTAATTGTCGTCGTTGGCGACAAAAGCCGCGCTTTTTCTTTTACCCTTTTCGTGCCCTTGTCAGCTCGCACGTCATCATGACGTATGTATTTCGTCTATTTCAATCAATTCATTATTCCTAATCCTAATGCCATATGATTATTTAACGTTAACTATTATATACCAGACCATTACTTCGTTGTAATTATTATCGTTTTGGTATAAACTCGCCATAATTATTTTATCACGTCAAAACTTAACTACTACCTTTTAAAAAAAAAAAGCTGGTTAATATTTCCAGACCAGATATAATAGAAAGCACTATCACCAAACATGTTGGTATTATTAGTCTTGTAACTATTAGCAGTGTGCTATGTATCATACTATACAAACATATCCAAATAATTTAGTATTTATATGTACTATTCTACTCACATACTCGTTGTCTCTTTTACTTCTTCTTCTTTTTTTAATAAAAAATACTTATTTATTTCGTCCATGTGGGGATTATTTCTGGACGTGGGCTTACACCCATAGGCCCAGCATCAACAGACGTAAAGACCAGAGACAATGGGCTTCACGTAGATGATGGGCTATGTGGTGATACATATCAAGCCAGATCAAGAATTGGGCTTTATTGTGCAGCAGTGTTACCGGGAATGGGGCCGTTTATTTAACCGGGAAAAAAATTAAAAGGAAAACAGCCATATAAAAAGGGGGATAAAACTTATCAAAAAGGGCCCAAAGTTAGGTCTAGCGGAAATGGCTAGTCCCTCACAACATGACAAATTAAGATTCAAATTCTTACTAGGAGAGATACACATATTTAGTACTCGACAATACCTCGAATAGGATTACTTCCAATAGGAGGATACCTATACTTTAGCCCAAAACAAAAAAACTCATCGAAAAGGGAGGATAAAAACAGATGTAACTAAAAAAAATAAAAACATAAAATGGTTTTAAGGAAAATTACCATAGGTCCTATGTAATAAATTTAAATACAGAGATCCCAAAATATTCGTTTTTGTCAATCTTTTTACAAGTTTAACTTGTAAATAAGGCAACTTGACTCGTAAATAAGATGTTTTTAGGGATTCCTTTGTATTTAATTTTCTTTTCTGGAGTAGAAATTAATTAAAGGTGATTTGCTCATTATCCATGTAACGAAAGCCCCGTGAAAAATGAAATATGGCGAGCGTGGAGGAATTGAATACCTGGATAGTGTAAGTACCTCGATATTTAAGAAACACGAAATTGTGAATATAATAATGGAGCAGTAATAAGAAGGCGGAGAAGAAAGTGATGGCGAGAAAGCAAAAAAGCCAAAGAGTGTTTTCATGGGTGTGACGGCAACACACGATGGAGGCATGGAGCTACTTGCATATACAATTGTGTGTGAAGTCGTTGTCACTTCGACTGCGCCTACGTTCTCTGGTCCCCCAAGGTCACTCCACAATTTCACTTCTTCTATATATATTCATATTCATCTATCTTATGGACCTTCGCTACTAGTTATAATACTTTATTTATATATTATAAACGAGATCTTATAATTAGGATAAAAAATAATATATTGTAATTTCAATGAATGGCTTGATATTATTTAAGTAATACTACTTCCGGTGCTTAATATAAGACCCTGTTTGATTTTTATTTTGGTCATAAATATAAGACCCCAATCCACTTTGTCTCTTATATTTATATTTTTTTTTCAAAGTAGCCCTTTTAATAACGATAGTTCTAGTCAATACATTTGATTAGTAAGGATATTTTAGGAAAGACAGCTCCTATTTAGGACAAATAACTAACTCAGCTTATTTTTTTAATCTCCTTAAATTAGTCAGCTGGCTCTTATAATTAGGACAGGAGGTAGTGTGTGTGTATATATATAAAATAAACGAGATGAAAATGGAGGGAGAAGGACGTGTGCGCCAATGCACAATCCAATAATGGAAGACCCAGATGCCGTGTATGCCCTGGTTCAGTGTATCCACTCACCCAACGCTCGTCTTTTTAACTTGTCACCCTCCAACTTGCACTCCATATCATTTCATACCAATCAAAGCCACACACACACACACACACTCTTATGAAGGGGCGGCTGGAGTTAGCACGGGGACAGGAGGCCCGTCTGCGTCTGTGTCTGTGACTCTGTGCCCTACCGTTGTTCACCGGCACCGCTGCCTTTTACATAAATCCCTTTCCATATGTATTTTAGATTTATTGTTTTTGGCAATGTTATTTATTTCTCAATTCATTCCCACTTAAATACTACCTCCGCTCCTTATTATTAAAACTAGTTTTACATTCAATTTAACTCTAAATAAATACACAAATTTATTTTGTCTCTTATATTTATTTATTTATTTAATAGCTTTTATAATACGTAATTGTACATATTAAATATTTTATTAAATGATAGATATAGATAATACATATAATTAGTAATGATGTTTAAAAAAATGTAATATTTATTCACTGAAACATGTGTTATTAATAGCTGATAGTATGCATCGATCTGTCTTTATAGTATTTGGTTTGTTTTTTATGTGTATATATAGTTGTTTGGTCCTGGTTTCCGAATATAATACTGCTTTGTAATTAATAAAGGCCCTTTTATCAGCCTCCATTGACATGTAGTTTCGCTGTTTGTCTGTCCTTTTCTTCTCCCCCGGTGTGCCTGCACTTAGTCCATGCCAGCAGACATGCATGATCAAAAGTTTCAAATTAAAAGTATATTCCCACGCTGATATTGTCACGCGCGCACGCACAAGTGATTATGTCGATCTTTCTTCTTTCTTTTACTTCTCAATGTTTGTGATTTTTAACCTCTATGATGGAGATTGGGAGCTCATTTAGAATAAGTCGTTTTTCAACCATGATTTATAATTCATGAGATAAATATATAAAATAAATATTACTACCTCCGGTCTTAATTATAAGAACCAGTTGACTAATTTGAGGAGATTAAATAAGTAAGTTGAGTTAGTTATTTGTCATAAATAAGTGTTGTCTTTTCTAAAATATTCCTGTTAATCAAGTGTATTAACTAGAACTATTGTTATTAGAAGGATTATCTTGAAAAAAATTGAGTAAATATGAGAGGCAAAGTGGATTGTGTTTTATATTCAGGATCAAAATAAAAGTCAAACAAGGTCTTATATTAAGGATCGGAAGTAGTATCTCAGTTTACATAAAACATGTTTATAAGTATTCTTGAACGTTATCTCAAATAAGTCC